ACGCTAGCCTGAATGCACAGCAAGAGAAAAAAAGAGCTAAATAAATAAATAAATATTAAAATGGAATTCAGGGAAACAGTCTGGGCTGGGGACAAGTCTGCAGGAACTGTCAAGCTCGTGACTTCTCAAGCCCTCACAGGAAAGTAAAGACAAAGATGAGGAAGAGACAAAGGCTGAGCCCAGGCTCAGTACCCCAAAATTTAGAACTCGGGAGGGTCTGGAGGAGCCAGCAAAGGAGACTGAGTCAGAAAGCCGAGAGGAAGGAGAAAGTCAGGAGAAGGTGGTGTGTCCCGGACACCAAAGGAGCCAAAGGAGCCAAGCGTTTTAAGGCAAGATAAATCGACTTCATCCAGTGCTGCTGAGAGTTCAGAGAAACATGAGGCTTGAAACTTCACCATGGGATTTAGCCCCAGGGACCTCCACAAGAGCAGTTTTGGTGTACTGTGAGAAGCAAGTGCCTGTTTGGAATAACTTCAGGAGAGTATTGAACAAGGGGGAAATGGAGATATGAGTGAGAGCAACTCTTCTGAGGAATTTTTCTATAAAGGGATAAAAAGAAGTGAAGCAGATGGAAGAAAAACAGGGTCAAGGCAGGTGGGGTGTTTCTGCTTAGATTTTATATTTATTTATTTTTGTCTTTTTGAGACAGGGTTCACCGGGGATATAGCTCAGTGGCACAGGTGCCTGCCTGGCAAGCGCAAGGTCCTGAGTTTGGTTCCCGGTACCAAAAAATAAAAAAATAAAAAATAAATAAACTGGTCGTTCTTTTTGAGATCGGGTCACATGCAGTTCAGGCTGGCCTTGAGCTCACTTTGTAGCCCAGGCTGGTCTCAAACTCCCAAGGATCCTCCTGCCTCAGCCTCCCAAGTGCTGGGATTACAGGCACTGTGCCACCATGCCTGGCTATGTTTTTGTTTTTTGTTGTTTTGTTTCATTTTGTTTTGTTTTGTTGTTTTTTGTTGTTGTTGTTGTTTTGTTTTTCTGGTGCCGGGAATTGAACTCACGACCTTGCACTTGACAGACAGGCGCTGTGCCACTGAGCTAAATCTGCAGCCCCCTGTTTTTGTTTTTTAGATGGAGAAATATCAGCAGCTAGGCATAGTGGTGTGGGCCTATAATCCCACCCCCTGGGACAAGCCCAGTCTGACCTTGTCTCAAAATAATAACAAAGGATATCAAAATAATAATAATAATTTTGCAGGAGATATAGTTCAGTGGTGCAAGTGCCTACCTGGGTTCCATTCCCAGTACTAGGAAGAGAAAAAAAAATGGAGAACTACCAGCATGCTTATCATAATTGGGAAGACCCAGCAAGGATCAAAAGGTTAAGGAAGAAAGGGAGAGGGGGTGGGGTGGAGGAAGTGCTTGGTGTATGGGCAGGGCGCACGCACAGCTCTCCTGGAAGAAAAGCAACGCTCCAGCCTAGGTCTTGGGACACTGCTTCCCCCTGCTCCGCAGCCCCAGGCATGCTTGACAGAGCTAGAAATCCCACATATCCCTGCATGACCTCCTCCTTGGTGGCATCCGCCTGGATGAGGGGGTCTTCAGGCATACAAACATACAAACAAGAGCTACCGTAGCCCAAGAGGGGAGGCCCAGCCCAGCCTGGGAATCCCCTGCTGGAGGGGGGCGCAGAGATCTAGACAGAGTGGGTGGGCTGGCAGCAAGCCCAGCTCAGGCCTGGGCAAAATAGGTGCAATGGCTTCTGGCCGGCCTACCGCCCCCAGATAGCAGCTGTGAGGCCTGAAGGGAATCGGGGAGGTGCAGGAACCTGCCAGGCCCTGGTGCAACCCAGCCTTGCCCTGAGGCGGGGGGATGGCCTAGATGGCCTCCCACACCTTCTCCACTCAAGGAGCAGAAAGGTTAGGTGGGGCCGCGAGATCCCTGAAGCCTCTGTCAGAATGGAGAACTCACCCGGTTCACCCCCAAGCAGCAAAGGCCAATTGTTGTGGGGGAAGTACAGCATCTGGCCTGATGCCAGGAGGAAGGGGCAACCTCTGGCAGGGTCAGAACGACAGGCCCCATGCGATAAAATCACCTGGTCACTAGAGCAGAGTAATTGCACACACAGTCACCTCCACACACGTGACCACGCGTGCCACCCACAACCTCCAAGCCACACCGCCGTCGCCACAACCAGCCACATTCACAGCCACACGTAGCAAGACACTGACACATGCTGCATGCCGCCACTGGAACACACGGCCACCCAGTGTCTCTCTCTCTCTCTCACATACACACACACAAGGTGCACACACACAGTCCTATGTGCACCCAGAATCTGTTCTACAAGTAGTAACCTGAATGTCTGCTCCACTTCCAGCCGGGAGACACAGCCAGGCCATGACAGTAGCTCGGAGTCCTGGCAATAATCTGAGGTTACAAAGCATGACGGCTGAGGCAGTGGAGAGGAGTCTTGAGGTGGGGCGCAGGGAAGGCGCCTCCCTAAGAAGGAGAGCCCTGAGCAAGGGGAGCCTGCGGCGCGAAGGGTCAGGACAGCACTATCCAGGCAGAGGGAATAGCACCGGCACAGGCCAGAAAGCCACAAGGAATGTGGCTTGTTCAGGGACACTGGGAGGAGAGCAGAGATCAGGGCACTGCCAAGGGATAGGAAGTGAGGCAGGACGGGTCACTGCCGCCTCCTGGGCCAACCTCGGGACAGCGAGTCTTAGTCTGGTGGTAACGACCAGTCACTGAGAGGCTTTAATTAGGGAGGGACAAGATCTGATTTATATCATTAAAATACTGCTTTAACCAGAAGAAACCAAAAGAGTAATTTTTACTTCAATTCTCAGAGAGGTAAAGGCACTTCTAATTATGACCAAACCCAGAGGCCATAAAAAATAAGATGTAAAATATCTTAAAACATCATAAAATGTCAGAAAATAAAACATAAAAATGTTTTAAATCTGTATGGCAGGAACTCCATATACAAAGTCAAAATACAAGTGTCCCACAGGAGGAGGGTGCTATTTGTTTCACAGAGGGCGGGTTTCCTTAACGTGTACAGGGGCTCCTAAGAAATAAACAGTGAAAAGACAGTCACCTAATAGAAAAATTAGCAAAGGACAGTTCATAGAAAAACAGATGAAAAGTGGTTCCTAAATGCAGCAAAAAGATGCTCACCCTTACAGTAAGAGAAATAAAAGTATAAGGGTGCCTCAGCCCCTAGCAGCATTCCACTGGCAAGAACAGGAGGGAACAAGAGCTTCCAAGTCACACGACAGTCCAGAGTGGTGCATCCATGGAGATCATTTAGCAATATCTACCTTTTTTTTTTTTTTTTTTTTTTTTGTCTTTTTGAGACAGGGTCTCGCTATGCAGTTCAGGCTGGCCTTGAGCTCATTTTGTAGCCGAGGCTGGCCTCAAACATGCAAGGATCCTCCTGCTTCAGCCTCCTGAACGCTGGGATTCCAGGCATGCGCCACCACATCTGTCAGAATATACAGTTATGACTGAGGAAGGAGAAACAAAACCGACAGGCCTGGCAGTCAGGTGCACAGTCCCAGGACCCCAGGCTGGTGCTTTAGACTGGCCGCGGAAACGTGAGAACGTCCGGGACTGCGTGGGAGCTAAGGTCCAGGCCTGTCTATGAACTCCTTGCGCGGGAAGAGACTGGACTCTCGGCGCCAGGGAAGAAAACCGGGGGCTATCAAGGAAGCCAAGGGAAGAAAGCATCTGAAAGGGAAGGAGCGGGCAGCCATGGCAGGTGGGTCTTTTTTAGCGACTTGGTAGGGAGAAAAGCCATTTTCTAACGGGTCGAAGAGTGATTAGGAGGTGAGGAAGCTGAGAGGGGCACAGCAGCAGGTGGCAGAGCCATCGTCCCGCTATCCCACACGCACCTCACACTGCGCCTGCGCAGAGCCACCTGGCCTCTGTACCTCAGTTTTCTCTTTCCTTTTTTGTTCGCTTGTTTTGGGGGTGGTTGCTTGTTTATAAGACAGAGTCTCGCTATTTCGCCCAGGCTGGCGTTAAACTCACGGCAGTCCTCCTCCTCGGCCTCCTAAGTGCTGGGATTGCAGGCTTGCACCACCGTACTGGGCAGTTTTCTCATTCCTTTTTGTTGTTGTTTTGTTTTGTTTTGTTTTTCCGGTACCGGGAATCGAACTCACGACCTTGCGCTTGCCAAGCAGGCGCCGTGACACTGAGCTAAATCCCCAGCCCCTAGTTTTCTCATTCCTAAGAGCTGGAGGGATTATGCTTGCTTCTTTTAGACGCTATAAGAATGAATAAAGTGTGTGGGACACAGCCAAAGACGTCTCTGGACTAACAATTCACTGCAATCCTCCACCAAAATGAGTCATAGGAGTTAATCTCCCCAACTCTGAGGAGAGTTCTGAAATTTAACAAGGGCGCTGTTTCAGGCACGAGCTGGTACAGTGTTGGGCGAGCGTGATGTATCCTGACCGAGGTGCTGGCCATGTAAGTCATCAGCATCCAGACTGGGAGGGCTCGGTCCGACTGTGACTAAGACGCAGGGATTCCCGGGCCGGAAGCTCCGGGTTTCCCAGGTTCCTAGCTGTGGCACACCGATATACAAGACAAAGAGCCCTTGTTCCCGGGGCGCAGCCCAGGTGCCTCCAACCCCTGCAAGGGAGTCTACCTGCAAAGCGCAGCCCCCCACCCCACCGCACACTGCGCTGGACAGACTGTGCCCCCGCAACACCTCAGGCACGACTCCCCCTTCCTGCCCTCACCCGGCACGTCTCTCCGGGGTGGGCTCAGAGTCTGCCCCGCCCTGGCTCTCCAAAGGCAGCTCCCTCCCTCCAGGGTGCTTTCGTTGGGGAGCAAGGGGACGGGCTCCCAGGAGTGTCTCTAAGCAGGGCCAAGAGCCGATCAGGGTCATAGGACAATCAGGATCCATCCCCACCTTGCAGGGTCAAGGGACAGGCGGGATCCCCGCCTTGCACCAGGCGGGGATCCTGACTGCAGGGCGCTGGCCCTGTATCCGTGGTAACCAAGTGGGCGGGCGAGTCCTGATTGCCGTCCTTCCCTCGGCCAAGGCATTTAACAGTTTGCAAAGTGCCTCACGCCTGTAGTTTCATCGGAGGCTGCACCACCGCCTTGTCCATGGCCGCCTCGGCTCCCACTCCATGCAGGAGCAAACCGAGGCTGGGACGCGCCAGGATCCCCTCCGGAGCTGGCCCCGGGGCCACGTGGCTGCGTCGAGATTAGAACTGGGACCCTCCTTGGCCTCGGCTCCTCCCTCCCTCCCACTCCCTCCCTCCCCTTCCTCCCTTCCGTCCCCCTCCACACCGCCCAGGGCGCCCATCTTCCTCAGCCCGGGTCTTCCTCGCCTCTGCTGGAGCCCGGATCTAGGGTTGCCGCACCGCCGACGGTAAGTGCTCGGGAGGGGCTGCCCCGAGGGTCCGGTGCCTTCGAAGCCACCCCCTGCGGTGGGCCTGGTTGGAAACGAAGGGACCCCCCCCAACACCTGCCCCCCACCCCAGCCTGCTCGCCCCTGGGGTCTGGAATTACAGCTGCTGGAACCTCCGGGGCGTCCCCTTAGCCCTGCGTCGCCTCCAACGCAGAGGGAACCCTGGGTGGGGGGGGGGGGTGCGGCTCTGTGTTTTGGGGGCTCCGGAGGTGAGGAGCGGGCCTGGTCAGGCAGGCCCAGGGGCGGGAGAAAGCGGTGGCGCTGGGAGCTGGCTTTGCGGGCAGCAGGGGGTCGGAACCGGCTGCACCAGTCCGCTGCGGGAGCGCATTCTTGGCCTGTGAGTCTCGTCCCTGGGGTGTGTCCGCGCCCCGGACTGCAAGGGAAAAGGCGGGAGTCCCGAAGAGAGCTGCACCGGCTCGGCTCGCAGGCAGGGCTGCTACCTCCCCGCCGCGCCGCCTGGAACCGTCCCAGTGAGTGACAGACGGGCAGAGAAGTCTCAGGATCCTCACACCACAGAATTCTGAGAATTCTTGGGCCTTGCCCAGCTAGTAAGTGCTAAAGCTGAGATCTGATCTGGATCTAGGTGCGACCTGACGTCTAGGTCCGACCTGACGGCCTCCCCAAAGGCCGGGGCTTAGCAGGGAGGCCTTCTCAGCCACGCGGCCAGTCCCAGAATGACTCCCAGAGGACGGGCGCCAGGAGGGCTGAGACACCGAAGGCGGTGTACCTCCTCTCTTCCCGCCCCTCTCTGAGAGCTCACCGTTCCCTCCTCGCAGTCAGCGCTGACTGAGCACCTACTGTGCGCAGATAAATAGGAAGCAGTGGGCAAAGCGGAGCGTTCATTCTACTTGGGCAGACAGATGATAAGAAAGACCCAAAAATGGCGATTTAATTGCAAGTGGTGATTAAGCATCAGAAAGGCAAGAACAGGGGCCAGAGCTGAGCGGCTGGGGGCAGGTCCCGATCTGAGGTAGTCGGGGGAGCCCCTAAGATCATGAGTGAGCAAGGCCTTCGCGGTGAGGAGAGGTTAGCCAGGTGAGATTCGCTGGAAGAGCGCCGCGGGCAGGAAGAGCCCGTGCAGGGACCCCGGGCCCAGGCTGACCGGGGCGGAGAGGGGCTGGGTGAGAGTGCGGGAGACAGGAAAAGGCTGCAGAACCCAGGGGTCAAGTCTCAGCCGCGCGCTGCAGAGTTCTAAAGAAGGGAGTGGCACAGTCGTGCTGGGTGGACTCCAGGGGCACAGGGGCAATAGCTGGAAGGCCAGCGAGGAGCCTGTGGCGGCGATACAGTTGAGAGTGCCGGCGGCTTGGACCAAGGGGGTGGCCCGCAGGTCTCCAAAGCTTGGAGGTGCAGGTCCACACAAGTGCAGGGAGAGGAGTGCGCCCGCACCCTGTGCCAGCACACCCATCCAGGGTGCATCAGCAGCCCCACCCTTCCTCACCCTCTGAGTCACTCCAGGGCCAGGACATGTGACTCAAGGGCCTGGCCAAAGCACATCTGCACACCACCAGGTCCCAGCACCCAGCGTGGTTCGGAGCGGCAGGGGCTCCCCCAGGCCTGCATAGGGAGGGGGATTTGTCTACACATAGGCCCTAGATCCAGTGTCCTCCCAGCAGCAAAACCGCAGGCCCAGGGCTGGGGATTTAGCTCAGCGCCACAGTGCCTGCCTGGCAAGCGCAAGGTCAAGAGTTCGATTCCCGGTACTAGGGAAAAAAAAACAAAACTGCAGGCCCTCCTCTCCCAGCCTCAGTTTTCCCTCTGTAGAATGGACTCAAACCACACCTTCCCAGGATGCTGTTGAAGCATCCACAAGGGAACAGTATCAAGAAGCTGGTCTGGGGGGTGTATCCAGCAGAGAAAGGGAGGGGACATGAGGGGACATCTGGGCCTGGCGTGATAGCCTGACCTTGCATCCAGCTGTCCCTCAAGTTAGTGGCTTGATCTCCCTGAACTGTGCAGTAATGAGTAGCCAGCACTTACTGAGCACTTACTATGCACTATGGGCTTCTTAGTCTTTATGTCATTTGCTTATCGGCTTCATTTGTCAGTGAGGAGCAGAGTAGCCTCCACTTCCTGGGGCCAATGTAAAGGATTAAATGAGATCCTATGGATAGAGAAGCTAGCTTTGACTGTCATTATTGTCACAAGCACACGTCCCCTTCCTCCCGGCACTTCAGTTCTGTAACTGTGGGTGGGTTACATAGTCTCCCGGTGCCTCGGTTTCTACCTGCAGCTTGGAAAGAACAGTAGGTCCAACCTGACAGTGTCAACATGAGGACTGCACAGGTCTATCCATGCAAAGAACTCAGGACGGTACCTGGCACATACTAAGTGTTCAGTAAGTGTCACCCACTCACTAGTATAATGGTTTTCTCTCTTACTCCCTCAGGTAGGCAAGGTCCCGGGAGCCCCCACCAGGCACCATGGACTGGAAGACATTCCAGGCCCTTCTGAGTGGCGTCAACAAGTACTCCACAGCCTTTGGGCGCATCTGGCTGTCGGTGGTGTTCGTGTTCCGGGTTCTAGTGTACGTGGTGGCTGCAGAGCGCGTGTGGGGTGACGAGCAGAAAGACTTTGACTGCAACACCAAGCAGCCGGGCTGCACCAACGTGTGCTACGACGACTTCTTCCCCATCTCCAACATCCGCCTCTGGGCCCTGCAGCTCATCTTCGTCACGTGCCCCTCGCTGCTGGTTATTCTGCACGTGGCCTACCGCGAGGAGCGGGAGCGGCGGCACCGCCAGAAGTACGGGGAGCAGTGCACCAAGCTGTACAGCAACACGGGCAAGAAGCACGGGGGCCTGTGGTGGACCTACCTGTTCAGCCTCATCTTCAAGCTCCTCATCGAACTGCTCTTCCTCTACGTGCTGCACACGCTCTGGCACGGCTTCGGCATGCCGCGCCTGGTGCAGTGTACCGGCGTGGCTCCCTGCCCCAACACCGTGGACTGCTACATCGCACGGCCCACGGAAAAGAAGATCTTCACCTACTTCATGGTGGGTGCCTCGGCGGTCTGCATCGTGCTCACCATCTGCGAGATCTGCTACCTCATCTTCCATAGGATCGTGCGAGGCCTGGGCAAGGACAAGCTTTCAAGGGGCCACAGCACCTCATCCTCCACCTGCCGCTGCCACCACAAGCTGGTGGAAGCCGGGGAGCTGGGTCCTGACCTCGGCGACACCAAGCTGCAGGCTTCAGCACCCAAGCTGACCCCCATCTGACCGCAGGCTGGGGAGCGAGGCAGAGAGGAGGCGCGGGGTAGAGGGCGCCTAGGGGTGCTGGCTGCCCTCGCTTCGAGTTCACTAAGCTGTCCAGCATCATTTGTTTTGTTTTTGCTTTTTGTCTTTTTTTTTTTTTTTTTTGAGACAGGGTCTCGCCATGCATTTCAGGCTGGGCTTGAGCTCACTTTACAGCCCAGGCTGGTTTCAAACTCGCAACGATCCCCTTGCCTCAGCCTCCAGAGTGCTGGGATTACAGGCATGCACCACCATGCCGAGCCTCCAGGTTCATTTCTGCAGGTATCTTCAGATGCTGAGTACCGTGCTCTCTGCCTGGGGATAGGTAACACCGAAGGCCCTGTGCCTGGCCAAGCAAGAGACAGAATTTAGAGTAACTGTGTGCCTGCAGAGGTTTGCGTGGCTGCTCCCCGGAGGCTTCTCCCTAGCCCCGGGGGACGGTGGGGCCAGGCCGCCCTGAGGAGAGTGCTGGAGAGATAACAAGCCCCGACCTGCAGAGATAGCTGGGGGGCTGCCAGAGACCTGAGGCACCAGACCAAAGGGAACCCGCACTCCCTTGGAGAAGTTCCCCAGTCCCCACGTGGAAAGGTCTCTCCAGCACCAGGGAATCTGGAGCCCTCAAAGTGAGTGAGGAGAGGCGCAGTGCTGGGGACCCAAGCGCTACTCAGGACACCCAGGGATTCTCTGGGTCACAGCTTCTCTCAGCGGCAGCTCCCTTCCCCAACCCCTCTTCCTCGGCCTCAGGCAGTGGTGCTTCCATCTGCCTCCCCACCTCTGTGCTGGGCCTGGTGTCCCCTGTTGCCAGGAACTTGGGTAGGGGGTTGCCCATTAAACACCCCCAAGCCCTTTCCTTGAAATCAATAAAGCTGCGTTTTATACAGGTCGGCTCTATGTTCGGTCCTCCTACATTCCCATCCGCAGCTCCCGGAGGGCAGGGAAAGCAGCTCCCAGAAGCTGGAGGAGCGCGGGCTGCAGATGCCCCTGTGTAGGGCTTGTGTAGGGACTGTGACCCGGGCTAAGAGCTAGGATGGCGGGCCCTAGAATCTGCCCGTGCTGGGATTCTAGCTGTGGCCACAAGAGGGCGCTACGCCCCTCTGAAAACGATGTAGCGTTTTAAGTTGAACTCTGCCCCGGTACACAATCGCTGTGATTCTCCTCACAAACTACGCTGCCTCGTCTTTTGTCACCCAGTCACTGCTATCACAAACCACATCTCCACCCTATGTACACAATCACTACTCTTCATACTCTCGCTCTTTGTACACAGCAGGCTACGCAGCCTTGAAATTCTTGGAACCTGAACATCTCAGGCCAGAGCAGAAGGAGAAGCCAAAGTGGAGATATGGCCAGATCAGCCCAGAGGAACATTCAGTGGCCATCACAGACCAGGCCGGGAGCCAGAAAGTCAGGAGCCAATGAGCTGAGACAAAGCAAGCGCGGAGAGCTCAGGGCACCGTGTACACAGCACAGGGCGTTGTGTGTGCAGGTTGTGGTTCACCTTTGCTCCCGCCTGCGGCCGTTAGGGGGCGGAGGAGCCAGCCGAGTGAGAGGGCTCCTGACAGGGTTGAGGTTGTGAATCGCGGCTTGACCGGGTCACAAGCACAACTTGACCATGCTGCACCTTGGACAAGCTTTCAGGACCTCAATCCTGTCGCCCACACCTTAGGAACAAATCAGAGTCTCAGCAGGAAATAGATGGTACGGTCACAGCAAGTAACTCAAAGGGCATTTCCTAGAGAAACATTTCAAAGGTGTGGGCCTGATTGAGGAAACCCATGACGGGTACTGCAGTGCCCTGGGGCTAGTGCCAGCGTAACAGTGGGTGGGAGCTACGGGATGGGACGCACCCCGCCACAGCAACCAAAGAAATCCCCAGCTGCACCCTCCCCTCTCCTGCTCCTCTGCCAGTGCTCCTACTGACCCAGCCTAGCCAGAGATCAGAGGGCAAGGAAGCCCCAGGGAGGTCAGCCTCCCAGGCACCGCCCAGGGTGGGACAAGGTAGAGAACGACAAGGTAGAGGAGCAGCAGGAAAGCACCCAGGACATTTTGTACTCACAGGGCTGTTGTAGAGATCAGAGGTGATGATGGTAAAATACTGGCACTGTGCCAGCGTGTCCAATAAAAACCAGGCCTGAGCGTGTTTAGGAAAGTCTCTGCTGATGCTCAGGCTGCTTGGGATTGCCCTGGATGGTTCCAAGGGTCTTAGGGAGGAGATCTGTCCACCTACTTGCAGCTATGCCTTCCACTGTTCCTGGGTGGATCCAGCTTCTTGGCAAGGGTGTCCTGGCTGTCGCAGCCATCAATAAACATCATCAGCTGCACCAGCGGGGACTGAGCGTCCAGTCCTGGCCACATTCCTCAGGCGCAGGCCAAGACCACGGCGGGAGGGAGATTCCAGGCTCGGGCACATCGCCTTCGGCCTAAGAACTGATCTGAGCAATGCCACTCGCTGATCTCACACAGCATGAGTTGGGCTACTGTGCCCCGCCAAGTCTCCAGCATGTATCACGGCCACACAGGGTGGTGCTCACGTCCCCTTGGCCTTTTTGCACCTCTGCCTTCTGGTCCCCCACTGTCTGAGGAGCCACTGCAAGCCTCCTTCAATCTTCATGCACGGTCTCAAGTCCACATCTCCAAAGCTGGGTGTGGCAGCTCAGGCCTGTAATCCCAGCACTCGGGAGGCTGAGGCAGGAGAACCCTTGCAAGTTCGAGACCAGCCTAGGCTGCAAAGTGAGCTCAAGGCCAGCCTGAACTGCATAGTGGGACCCTGTCTCAAAAAGACAAAAAAAAGGAAAAGTCCACATCTCCTGTGTATAGTCACAGCCACCCTGCAGCTCAGGTAAACAGGAGCTCATTTTGTCTGCATCTCCCTGGCCCAAATCCCTGCACAGGCTGAGTTTGTATCCCCAAAATCTGTATGTTGTAATCCTACCCCCAAAAGTGATGGGATTGGGCAGGGGGCCTTCAGGAGATAATCAGGCCGTGAAGGTGTTGGGGAGTCACTCCTGGGCATGGGAAAGGGAGGCAGGACCGAGCACCAAAGCCAGCGACAGGTAGCAATGAAGCAAAGACCGGCCGTGGGGGTCCTGCAGGCCCTTGGCCTCCCCTGGACTCGACCGCTGCCCAGGGTCACCTCAAGAAGAGCTTGGCCACGGGGGACACCAGAAGCAGACATGGAAGTGCTAATAGGGGGACGCTGCAGCTGACCAGCCTGGGCACAGCTGGGTGTGGAGCTCTGTGCTGAGGGGATGGCTGCATTTGCCATCCCCCCTCTTAATCTATTTCCAGCACAGTGTTCGGGGAGATCCTGCCAAAATCTAAATCAGGCCACCCTACTCCCTGCCCAGAACCCCCAAAGGCCTCTTATGAAAGCCTCCAGCACATACAAGATCTGCCCCAACCCATACCTGCCTGTCACTCTTTGGCTTGGCCCTGCCCACTCCCTGCCCTGGCCATGCCACTGAACACCAAGTACATTCCTGCCTCAGGGCCTTTGCAGATAGGCTCCCTGCCTGGAGGCTCTGGTCCGGAGGGCCACAGGGCTTCCTCCCTTCCCTCAGGCTTGCCTCAAATTGTCAGCAGCTTAAGGAGATTTTCTCTTCTCCTCTACCTAAAACTAAAACTGCCGCCACTGTACTCTTAACCCTCCCTACTTCGTCTCTTAGCCTGTGTCACTGATATGCCCTGTATTTTATTGTCTTTTTCGGGGGTGGGGGCAGTACTAGGGAACTGAACCCAGGGATACTTTCCTACTACCACTAAACCACATCCCTAGCACTTTCCTTCACTTTAAGACAGGGTCTTACTAATTTGGGCTCGAACTTGCGATCCCCCTGCCTCAGCCACCTGAGTAAGTGGGATTGCAGGCATGCACTCCTGCAACCAACATTTTTTTAAACCACAATGAAAAATTTGAAAACAGTCAACCAGTACAGTAATGCACCACGAGACAGTAGCTGAGCTACACAGAGCAGAGCTGCAGTGGCCAGTGAGGCCAGCAGGGGACTTCTGGAAGAAAGTGACATCTGAGGAAAGACCTGAAAGGCTCCAAGGGCCCCACGTGTGAGGTGCTCTGGGCAGAGGAACAAGCGGAAGCAAAGGCAAGAGCACACAGAGACCCCAGTGGTTACATAAAGCTGGTGACAAAGCGGGGGGGGGCGGGCTGGGGGACTGGAGCTGAAGAAGGGTCGTCGACAGGGCTAGGTTACAGTCAGATCTCTAGGAAAGCGTGGAGACCGAGCGGAGGGCTGAGGCTGGGGCTGGAGGCCAGCGGACCAGCAGGGGCGCTGCTGAGCGGTGGCAGTCTGAACAGGGCCGAGGGAGAGAGGCAGCGTGGGGTTCTGGGACGTTTCCCCATGAACGGCCAAGTTGCCCGCATTGTTGCCTTGGCTGATCCCAGCTCCTTCCTCCTCCAGGGAAGGGACCAGGTTACTTAAACCCAGACCTCCAGAGTCCCTGAGAAAGCGGTCAGAGCCGGGTGAGGGCAGCCTTGACGTCACCCCTCACCGTCACCCCTCACCCTCCACCCAGAGATTGGATGGGAAAAGCCCTGGGGAAGCTGGGCCGGGCCACAGTGCGAAATGGGAGCAGAGGCGCTCGAGAGCCGGTCTCCAGGGGCCTCAGTTCCCATGCCCTTCAGGGTCAGAACGGAGTGGGCGCAGTTGTCTACTCTGGAATCCCAGGAGATCCAGCTCAGCCTGGCGCTGAGGGAAAGGAAAGCCAGCTCAGCCTGACCCCCCAGGGACACTCATCCCGAAGTTCAGAGCCCACCCATGTGCCCCCCTCCAACAGACAGAGCCCTCAGGGTTTAGCTCTGGGTCCCTGCGAGTCCAAGGGCTGAATCCTGTTATGCAAAAACAGGGCTAATAATTAGCCGGGTTCCGTGGCGCATGCCTGTAATCCTAGCACTGGGAAGACTGAGGCGGCACAAGGGTGGTTGCAAGTTTGAGACCAGCCTGGGCTACAAAGTGAGCTCAAGGCCAGCCTGAACTGCATAGCAAGACCTTGTCTCAAAAAGATAAAAAATAAACTTTTTTTAACAAACCAGGGCTAGGGCTGGGGATTTAGCTCAGCAGCACAGTGCCTGCCTGGCAAGCGCGAGGTCGTGAGTTCAATTCCCGGTACCGGAAAAAGAAAAACAAAAAATAAAAATAGAAATAAAAACCAGGGCTAATAGCCCCAAGTCTCAGCCCCCACCCCACCCCCATTTCTTTCCTTAGTTTCCCCAGCTTCCCACCACCCCTCTTGTCCTAAGCTGCTCCGATTTTTCTGTCCTGAGACCAACCCACAGACCCTTTCCTGCACAAACATGCACCTGAAACCTCTCTATACTAACATCACTCCGTGTTTGACAGGATCTCCGATCAGTCCTACAATGCAGCTACTACAATACTCATTCTGTAGAAGAAGCATTAAGGCATCTAGGTTTGAGAAACTGGCCAGAGGACACAGGCATGAACAGCACCCTCACCTTCTAGGCTCAGCTACAACTCAAGCGCCCTTGGGCAGCGGCAGCATCTCAAGATGCCAGGGGCCTTTGCTGGTGCTGCCCCTGCCAGGGCTGCTCCTCCCTTTGGCTAACAGCCTCCTCTAAGAAAGGTTCCTGATCAAGCCCCATGACTCACTTTGTGCTCCAGGGGAAAACTGAGCAGAGCACTTTGCCCTCACCCAAAGGCTAATCTGCCTACAGGAGAGCTGGAGCGGAGGACCCAGTCTGGGTGGTCTCCCTGGCTACTGGCTCGGTCCTCCTTAATCTCATTAATGAGCATCTACCCACTGAGTCCCAAATGAGTGCCTATCCTCTGCCTAGTCCTTTGATTTCCTGCGGTGTCCCCTCCCGCGTAGAGGCACGAGAATGGGGCCCAAGCCAAAGGTCAGGAGGTCCCCCTGGGCCTCAAGAAGTCCAGGAAATTATTTGGTAACCTCTGACTGCGTAGCCGATGACTGAGAAGCCGATGACTGAGAAGCCGATGATTGAGAGTTCTGGAAGGTCACCAGCCAGGTGGAGACCCCAGCTCCACCGCCCACGCTATCACGCGTGGTGGGTGACCCTCTCTCCCACTGTGGGTCCCAGTCCTACTAACCCTGTCCTGGCGCACCACCGCCGCCGCATCCCCGCTACCCACCCCTCAAACCCCTCAGGCCAGTAGCTGATACCCGCAGGCTTTAGCTATAACCCTTTCACATGCAGCCACCCCGAAAGATCGGGGCCTGGGACAGCTCCCTTTCCGTTTCCAAGAAGCTGAGGCAGGAGTTTACCGTCTGGAATAAGGACGGAGAGAGAGCAAAGGGAAGGGGCGTCTCAGCCCGCCAGGGGACCCCACCTCCCAGGGTCACCTCCCGGAGTGGGTTCAGGGCATCTGCACCTCCTGTCCCCGTCCCGCCTCCCTCCAGCGCCCGCCTCCTCCCCGCGGCGTTTCCTGCCCCCACCCCGCCCCTCGGCGTTATTTAAGGCGCCCCCCTGCCGCCTGGCGCGGTCCAGCAGGGCTCCGGCGGGCGCCGCTCGGCGGTCGTCCTCTCCTCCCCCGGGCCGGCCAGGCGGGCAGGCGGTGAGTCGGGTGGAGGGCGGGTAGTTGGGTAGTTGCTTCGGGGCGCACGCGGGTAAAAGAGTCACACCGGCAGGCAACGTAGTTCCCTTTTCCTTGGTCTTTACAGGAGGGGAGGCAGAGGGCCCGAGGTCGTTGCAGATCCAAGTCCCCAGGTGCCAGAGGGCACCAGGTAGTTGAACCCGCGTCTGGTTCCAGGTCCTGCTTCAGACAGCTTTGCTCCCGGGAAGAAGCGTCTTCCCGCTCCACTCTTCCCACCTTCCTTCCCGCTAAATGTCCCCGGAACTGTGTGTCTGTGCCTCCACCCCGCAGTGACAATTTCCTCCAAGAGTCTGGAATTTGGCAGCAACTGTTTGGGGAGGGGGCAGCCCCAAGTGTGCCTACTCAGGCCGCAGGTGGCCATCACCGTGGACAGGTGCAGCTCAGCAGGACGCTGCCTTCGGCTTCTCAAATACTGCGCTCCACCCCCAGCCCGCCCACACAGCAAGCCCAAGGGTTAGAGCGAGGCCAGCTGGGTGAGATAGGGTGGGAGCCGGGGCCTGAGGCTTTGAGCCCCCTGAGAACCGGGAGATAACACCTCTCCTCTGCTACTGTCTGGGAGTGGCCAGCCTTGGGCAGGAGGAAGGCCACGCATGGCTGTATGACTGGATTCGTTCCTCCAGTTGTCTGTTCCCATAGGCAAAGGAGCCTCCGTGCAGTCCAGATCTCCATGGGCTGCAGTCACCCTGGGGCTCAGAGGGGACGAGAGGGCACAACTATGTGACTAGACAGGGACCCTAGCTGCCCTGTAGCCTTCCACTGAGGGAGGTAAGATGAGGGCACACAAACAGCTGAGGGGCCAAGAGCCAAAGCTCAGCTTTGGGTCCTGACTCCCTGCTGAGCTTGGGTCTCCTCGCAGGGGGGATGGGCATGGCAGATAACGCCCCACCCCGCCCCCCACCTCCCCAGCCTGCAGGTTTGTTGCTAGGACAAAGTGAGGAGTGCCCTGCTGACACAACTCTGTCCCCCTGCAGACGGACGCCCGGGAGCCATGGGTGACTGGGGCTTCCTTGAGAAGCTGCTGGACCAGGTCCAGGAGCACTCGACCGTGGTGGGCAAGATCTGGCTGACAGTGCTCTTTATCTTCCGCATCCTCATCCTGGGCCTGGCAGGCGAGTCGGTGTGGGGCGATGAGCAGTCAGATTTTGAGTGTAACACGGCCCAGCCTGGCTGCGCCAATGTCTGCTATGACCAGGCTTTCCCCATCTCCCACATCCGCTACTGGGTGCTGCAGTTCCTCTTCGTCAGCACGCCCACCCTGGTCTACCTGGGCCACGTCATTTACCTGTCCCGGCGAGAGGAGCGACTGCGGCAGAAGGAGGGAGAGCTGCGGGCCCTGCCAGCCAAAGACCCACAAGTGGAAAGGGCGCTGGCGGCCGTGGAACGTCAGATGGCCAAGATCTCCGTGGCAGAGGACGGTCGCCTGCGGATCCGCGGTGCACTGATGGGCACCTACGTGGCCAGTGTGCTGTGTAAGAGCTTGCTGGAGGCCGGCTTCCTCTATGGCCAGTGGCGTCTCTATGGCTGGACCATGGAGCCAGTGTACGTGTGCCAGCGTGCGCCCTGCCCACACCTGGTGGACTGCTTTGTCTCCCGGCCCACGGAGAAGACCATCTTCATCATCTTCATGCTGGTGGTTGGACTCATCTCCCTGGTACTCAACCTGCTGGAGCTGGTGCACCTGCTGTGCCGCTGCCTCAGTCGGGGGATGAGGGCGCAGCAGGGCCAGGATGCACCCCCAGCCCAGGCCACATCCTCAGACTCTTACCCTGACCAGGTCTTCTTCTACCTCCCTGTGGGCGAGGGGCCCTCGTCCCCGCCGTGCCCCACCTACAGTGGGCTCTCGTCCACTGAGCAGAACTGGGCCAACTTGACCACAGAGGAGAGGCTGGCTTCTTCCAGGGGCCCTCTCTTCCTGGACCCACCCCCGCAGAGTGGCCAGAAAAACTCCAGTCGCCCCAGTAGCTCTGCTTCCAAAAAGCAGTATGTGTAGGGGCCTTGGGCTTCTGTCACTCAGCAGAGGTGTCCCAAGAGGCTGTCAGGCTGCCCCCTCCTGGAAGGCTGCACAGAGGTAACTGGACTGAGGGAGCAGCTAATTGCTGGCCAAAGGGCCTCCTGGTGGTGGCTCTGGAACACTAGGGACCTTCCTGGGGACCATCAGGCACTATGGCTTTCTCTCCAGACAGGGCCCTCTCGGGCTACTCTTGACCAGGGGTTGCAGGATCATTTCCACCTGATCTGGAGGGATCCAGGCCGACTTACCCCCACTGTTATGGAAGAGTCGCCTCTGCCCACGTTGTCCTCACATCCTCTCCTCACGGGAAAAGACTGCAGGATCAGCCTTGGGCACGGAGACAGAGCCCTGCCAGGCCCACCCTGCCCCGAGGACTGGTGTTTTCATCACTCCTTCCTAGTTCCATTGTTCGTGCTTCTAAAATAAACAGCACTTGATCACAAGTGAGGTGCTTATTGATGCCGCCATGATGTGCCTCAGGGCAGTGTTGGGGAGACAGTTATTTTGTCCAGGCTCCCTTTTTCTTTCAGTCCTGCATAGCCCATCATTGGTCCCTGCAGCCCCAGCTCAAGCTCCAACATGGGGCCTGTCAGCAGCTGAGTCCTAACCGTTTCACCTTTTGAAATGTTACTGCCTGTTTTCTTTCCACCTGGGACCCTGCTAATCAACTTGCTCGTTCATTAGTGGCCAGAGTAGTGTCCCTTCCCCCATCTGTCCCCCGGAATGTGCTCCCTTACTAGACACAGACAAGGCCAACAGAGTCCAGTTCAGATACACCCCATGTACCCTGCAGCCACCCCAACTAGCCATGGGCCCGTTGGGGGTGCAGAAGGGAGGTTTCGTTCACTTGTCCTCCCTACCTGGGCCCTTTCTAGTCTGCCCACCATAAGGAGCAATTCAAGGGTCCGCATCACAGCTCCTGTCCGTGTATCTGAAACTGAGGGAGAACAGACAAAGGCAGTCTGCAGTGTCTTCCTTTACACTGGCAAGCCCCGCAGTCCCTCAAACACCAGTGGCTCTGGAAAAGGCAAAGCTGTGATGCAGAAGAAAGAGTACAGTGAACTTTGGCCTTGGAAGGTCCTGGCCGGGAGCCAATCATTTCACCTCTCTGTCTGTTCTCCCATCAGTAAATGCCTGCTTCCCAAGTGATGAGAAACAGGCAGGTCCCTGAGCGCTGCCAGGGAATCACTTTCATTCCCCACAGCCCAGCCCAGTGTGAGCTCAGCCTAAGGGGTGGGGTTAGAATGGACAGAAAGGAAGTAGTTCACACCTTGGGAGGGCATGGCTCCAGGAGGCTGAGGCCCTCTTCTGAGGGAGCCCCCAGGCAGGTGAGAGCCCCGAGGTGGTGGTCTCCTGGAGCCAGCCCTACTAGAAAGCCCTGAGAGGCTGTATTTCTGGTATTCCCTACCCGTCCTAGCTGGGAAAGGTGGAAGGAGAAAGGTTAAGTGAGAGAAGAGGGGATCCTTCCTCTCCCCACAACTCGCCCGCCCTCAGCTTGGTGTGGGGCTGAAGGTCAGTGTGGCTGGGCATTTGAAGCGACCTAGACTGGGGGCCCCCACACACACAAGGGCAAATGGGCTGGGGCTTCACGGTAAGACCAGTGTAGTTGGGTGGGGTCCGACGGTTTGGGAAGGAACAGCGCGTTATGGAGATTGTGCAGCGGAAGCGGCTGTGAACTCCACCTCACCTGTCTTACTTTGCTAGAGCCGCCGTACCAAAGTACCAAAAGCTGGGTGGCTAAAACACCAGAAATGTATTTTCTCTTAGTTCTGCAGGCTGCAGAGTCCAAGATCAAAGCATGAGAAGGGCTGGTTCCCCCAGGGGCTCTGAGGGGGACTGTTCCATGCAGCTATCCTGGCTTCTGGGAGATTTCTGGCCATCCTTTCCTTTCCTTTCCTTTGCTTCTAGAAGCTTCATCTCCACCTCCGCCTCTGTCTTCACATGACATCCTCCTTGGATGCATGTCTGTCTTGTGTCCAAATTTCTCCTTTTCATAAGGACAGTAGTCTTATTGGATTTGGACCAGGGATTTAAAATGAAAGACCTTATTCCCAAATAAGGTTACCCTCTGAGGTACTGGGAATGAGGACTTCAGTGGCAGGGGGCATAGTTCATCTCATCCCCACCCTACCGGCCCCTACTCCCAACTCCTCTCTCAGAGGCTGAGGGGAATGCGAGGTATAGGATAGACCCCGCGTCTCTGGCGGGCAGGGCCTGGGTACAACCCAGCAGGTTTCCGTCTTGCTCCTTCCTCTGCTTCCTTTCTCCTATCAGCCTGTTCCTGACCGTTACCAAGGCCTACGCTGGGCTCTCAGCCGCAGAGCATCTGTAGCCCTTCATTTAGGAGACGCGGCTCCTGCCTCCTTGCCCCTCATGCTCACTTGGTGATGGTTCTTTCCATTCTCCACGCCTCAGTTTCCCCACTGAAACAAAGGGATTGGGTGCAAAGCAGGGCCATTTGGTATGAGGATCACTGTGTGGGGATTTGTCTCTACTCACTGGTTTGAAGCTCATGACTGATACAATATTTTTCATGAATCAGAAGAGATTCAAGGTTATTTCTGTAAAAAGATCGATTCCAGTCACTCGAATTTGCATTGCCTTCCTGAGTAGGAAAGAGAGGTGCAGGGTTACACGGAGGGCGCTGGGAGTTTTGCATAGCCTAAGGTCATCTTATCTGTGACTGCGCATAAACAAAGCAACTGGCTCTGGGTGACATCAAGACTTCTTCCCAGCCTAACACAGGGGTCATGAGTGGCTGGGCTGGTGACCTTCCACCACTGATCTCCAGTGCCTGGGGGTGGGGGTGCTTTATTTCCTTTTCACACCAGCCTCAGCTTCTGGCTTGCAGGAAGCGGTGTCCATCGCAGAATTGCCCAAACCCCTTTTTCCACCTTTAAGCTTCTCTTATAAACCTTGGTTCTGATGCCAGGAAGCCACACGACACTCCGCTGTCCGGTCCTTCAAGTCAGGCACTGCAGCCGCATGCAGATGGCCCCCTGGAACTGGCACTCTCCCCCTTCCTCCAGCTGACCCCAATTCCCAGAGGTCTCTGGCCAACCTGCAGTTCACCTGCTTTCCTTTTTTTCTTTTTGGTTTTGTTTTTTTTCCGGTACTGGGAATCGAACTCACGACCTTGTACTTGCCAGGCAGGCGCTATGCCACTGAGCTAAATCCCCAGCGCCTCTACTTTCCTTTTAACATGAGCCAACCTATGTGCTGGATGTGATGGCCCAGGTGATCAGAATGCAAATGATCACCTCTTGCCCCGAAACTTCTACCTCTATTAATCCAAGCTAGGACTATACCCATTTTTGTATTTTCTTCTCTTTTTCATATGTGGATTTTTTTTCAGATTTTAAAGGCAATGCATGATCATTGTAGACAGTGGATTCTACCATTCAGGGGTAACAGCTGTTAACTGTCAGAAGTCATTCCTTCTAGCCCTCTTCCCTGCGTACATTTAACTAAAGTCTGAGTAAAAGTGTCAGCAATTTTGTGTTCTGTTTCTTTCATTTTACATTTAATCACAAGCCTTTTCCCCACATTATTATCTTTGGAGACATCACTTAATGGCTATATAATAAGTCTCTATCATTAGCTTTTTTTGGAAAGGGGGTTAAGATAGGGTCTTGATGTGTAGTACAGGCTGGCCTTGAACTCACGGTGATCCTCCTGTCTCAGCAGACTCCTGAGTCTGGGATTACGGGTGTGCACCACCACAACCAGCCTATCGTTAGCTTCTCAACTGTGACCTCAATATTGAATTTTTAACATGTTTACAACTAGTGAGCTTCTATAATAAATTGTACTGTGATGTAGACGCCTGTACATACACATTCTCCAAATGTGTGTTTCCTTAAAATAATGATATTCCAAGAAGTAAAATTACTGGGTTAAAAGGTATGAAATTTTAAATTAAGAGAAATTTAGGGGCTTTTTTCATCAGATTGTGAAAGTGATTCATTGTAGATAACCCAGAAACATAGAAAAATGCAAGCTATTTACAAGAAATGAAAGTATGATACCAACTGCCTCCAAGTGGGGTGAAAAAGGGCTGACCCTAAACAGCCCCCCTCCTTCCTAGCAGAGGTGCCCCCCCCCCCCGTGGAAGGACAGTAGTGACTCCCTAGAGAGGACAAAACAGAGTTTCAGGACAGGCAGACGTGTGCATGAGAATAAGAGCTCGGCAAAAATACAGCAGAATTAAATGGGAGTTTACATACCGAATGGTGAGACTTCGGTTCCCCACTCCATTTGATTCCCAGAACACTGGTTGCTGAATAAAGCTAAAGAAAGAGGCTGACCCTGCCTGGCGATCCTGGAAGCCTCCCTTGAGGATGAGGGCTACAAATCCTGAGGGACAAGGAAGACAAGCCAGGAAGAAGTGGGAGCAGCATTCCAGGCAGAAGGAATAGCATTTTCCACAGCTCTGAAGAGGAAGAAAAAGGGGCTTGAAATTCTCGGTTCCCAGGATTGGTTTGCGGATTTTCTTTTTCTTTTTCAGACAGGGTTTCACTATGCAGTTCAAGCTGGCCTTGAACTCACTTTGTAAGGCAGGCTAGCCTTAAACTTGAAGCAATCCTCCTGCCTCAGCCTCCCTGGCGCTAGGATTACAGGTGTGCACCACCACAACTAGCTTGTCCAGGGTTGTTTTTGATTTGTATAGCCAAATAGCTGTCCAGCAATTATATGTTCAGTAGCATCCTATGAAAGTGCTCCTTTCAAGGCACTCACAACAGTATTATCATAATTTTTCTTTTGCTTATTAATTATTAAACAGCAAGAGAAATGATGTCACCTCTTAGGAGGTAAGCTCTTGATTACTAATGGGAGTAGAAATTTTAACATACACTTCTTCAGCCAGCAGTATACTTCTTCTGCAATTTTTAGGCTCATATCAGGTTTTAGTGTTTTCAGATCAATTCGTATAAGCTCTTTACAGAAATAGTACAATGGTATGAATGTTTGCATCGCCCCTCCCCCACTCACATGTTGAAACTGTAACACCAAAAGCGATGGTATTATGGTATTAGGAGGTAGGGTCTTTGGGAGGTGATTAGGTCATAAAGATAGATCCTTCCTGAATGGGAATAGTGCCTTTATCAAAGAGATCTGAGACCTCTCACCTCTTCTGCCATGCCAGGGCAGGCAAAAAGTGCCATGTAAGAGAAATAGGCCCTTACTAGCCACTGAATTTCTCAGTGTTTTGATCTTGTACCTTCTAACCTCCAGGACTGAAAAGAAATAAATAGAAGTTTGTGTTTTGTTTCTAAGCCACCTACTTCCTGGCATTCTGTTATAGTAGACCAAATGAACTAATACAGAGAGACTATCAAAAATATATGTCATGTTGTCTGTAGAAGTTTTTAGTTTCTATGTAGTCAAATGTATCAATTTACCCTTCTAATAATTTTATGCATTAGCACACTTTACATTAATT